TGATTTTGGGGAGAAGTCAAAGCGAAGATCCATATTTGTGCCCATTGGCTACGGCACACAATATTAATTAGTAGTTGGGAGGGTTTCAGCTGTGGCTGGGAGACAACCTAATTCAATGGCCGATTTTTTCCTTCGTGAGGAGTGGCATTAAAAATATATATTTTTTTCAAATATTTTTTTATTGATTAATATACCAATTTAATAATACTTTTTATATTAAAAAAAAACCATACATAATACATACACCAAGAATATAATAAAAGAAAATTGTTAATTACTTAATATAACAAATACATTATACAATAATATAACAATTATTTTTTTTACATTTATTAATTACTTAATGTTTTACATGCTAAATGTATTAAAATTGAATTTAGGATATTGTTGAGTTTATTAACTACATGGATATCCTAATCTTACTAAAAATAAATATAGAATACCTATGTTTCCATTTGTTGCATAGAATGAACCTTTTTAAGGTAAGAATATCCTTAATATAAATAATCCAACTTATTTATTAATCAAAAACATATATTTTTTTAAAAACACCTCATATTATAATTAAAAAATTTATGGTATTCATAAAATAATCTGATGTATTTTTTTATTTTTTTAAATTAATTATTAGAAATATCACTGGTGATTTAATAAATTCACGAGGACCACATATTTTATTTAATAAATTATTCTCAATCTTAATCTATAATTTAAAGCAAGCTTGTATTATTAGACAAAAACAAGAAAAAAAAAAAAACTATATATCCCAGTAGAGGATTTATGTCGAGGTGGTGATAAAAAATCGGGTGACTGAAAAGAAAGGAACATGACCTTCTTAAGTAAGAATTAAGAAGGTTGGATCAATCTAGCCTGCTTTATAGATAGCATTGGTGCGTAGCGTTGGGTTACCTCTTCAAACCAAAGCCTTCCCTTCTTCCCTAGTATTTCCCTCATGCTCTGCCAAAGTTAACTAACATTCACCTCTATAATTGTGTCTCTTCAACAGGGTTAGGGTTCCAAGACAAGACTTCAAAAGATCTCATCTAAAATCAATCACCGCCATGGAAGGGGATGCTGTTACTGACTTTCAAGACTGGGAACTCCTAGCCAACTCGGAATCAGACTCGGTCCTGGCTGACTCACCCAACTCGGTGGCCAATTCTTCGAGGAGTTTTCATGAGATTGAGGCTGATACAGAAGGTATGTTCAGGACAGATTACTTTTCTCTTGAAAATGATAGTAGACGTGTTAAAGCTGCCCTTGATGCTAGTGAAGAAGGTTCCGTTGAGTCGGATAATCCAAGTTGGATCGATCCTGGCTCAGAAACTCGGTTCCAGAGGAGGAATTCTGGTGAGTCATGGCCTGATTCGGGTAGTGATCGATCTGATGATCGCAAATCAAGTGACTTTGATGTGAAAAATGAATTGGGTTTTGTGGAAAATGAAAAGACTGGCGTGGGATTTCAAGGGATTGGAGAAATTGAGGCTAAAGAAGGGAAACTTGAGTCACTCGAGCGTGAAGCTAGCAACTTTCAAGGGAAAAGCGAAGTGGGTCTTGTAGAGACCTTGAAAGATCAAGTGGGTTTGGAAGGATTCGGGGAACAAAGTAAGGATAAGGAATTGATTAAGTTCTGGTCTGATTCTGATGGTGATAATTTGGTTTTTGGTGGTCTTGGGAAGGATCAAGCTGGGTCTGAGATTCTGGGTGAATCTGAAGGTGGAAATGTGTCCAAAGAGGTAAGTTTGGGTGCTGTTGGGGTCAGAGATACAAAGCCTGGTGATGAGGGGGAGAAGAGGAAGGTGGTGGTGTGGTGGAAGGTTCCTTTTGAGGTGTTGAGGTATTGTGTTTTCAGGTTGAATCCTGTTTGGTCTGTCTCTATGGCTGCCGCTGTGATGGGATTTGTTATCCTGGGACGGAGATTGTATAAGATGAGGCGCAAGACAAAGAGCTTGCAGCTTAAGGTTACAGTGGATGACAAGGTTAGTTATTGTGGTTATTTAATTTGGCTATATCAATTGCTGATAGTATGGTTAATTTGGAAAAACTCTATTGCTAATTGTTTTTAATGGTGTGTTTAAACTGAATGAGTACAGATTGTCTGATTTTCGTATTTTAAATTTCGTATTGAAAAAAGGCAGCGTCTGTTGTGCAGCAATGATTTTAACTTCGTATTTGAAAAATGATATTATATTCACTTTTTTTTTTGTCATGTTGGCATATCCTTGTCATGTTTGGGTTTTTTACTCCTCTTCTTTCTCTGTAAGGTGAGAATCAATTCATTAAAATCAGGCACCAAACAGACCAGAAAATGAATTAACAGAGAACTGCCACTATGTTATTTGTTCAACAAAGGAAAATAGTCCTCACATTCCCTGCACGCTTCACATTGCAGACTTGGGGATGGCATGATCACAGCCTGCTCTCTCCTCCTTTCTCCTCATCCTGGGTTAATTAGAGCTAAAAAAAAAAAAAATACTTGCTGGTGGGAACTAGCCCTTATTTGGAGAAGTCTGAAAAAAAAAAAAATTAAGTAAAAAATTACTATTTTACATGACCAACTCAAGTTGTTTGAGGTATAGCAAGTTGTGACTTAGGGAATTGTTAGTCAGTAAATAATTAGGTGATTGAGGTGCAATGGCTAGGCGATGTTGGTTGGGAGTGAAGTTTTTACTTGTGATGCAGTGGATGGTTTGGAAATACTGTGTTGGAGTGAGAGTATTAAGAGAGAGGGAGAGAGTTGCTGTATATGGGTAAAGTTCGTTAAGAAATGAGTCGGCAAGGAAATGAGGGGATATTTGTAGTGCACATGAGGTGGTTAGGCTCTCATTATAAATCTTGATTACAGTCCCAGTCAATTTTCATTTTGTATTTCATTACGGACTAATTTTAGAGTCTTGTTCACCAAAGCCTCATTTATCGTTTTTGTTCATAACAGTCACTTTTAATTAATTTTTGTTGATAATGTAATTATTACTAAAATCTTTCAGAAATCTTAGTAATGATTTTCTTTTACTAGGTCTGCCTGGAAATAATTTTAGGTTAGACTTGGAAATATGAAAAGTTGTTTTTGTCAAATAAAAAGGTATCAAACCAAGGTATCTGGAAATGCATATGGATTGTAGTAGAAGTAAAGTTAGGAACAGAATATGGGGGAATGGTAAAAATAGATGGCAAATGATGTCCCAAAAGCTTTTTGGTTTCTGGGTGAATTTAATTGATTTTTTATGGTAGAAGATCCTGTAACTTTAACTCTTGGTCTCATGCCACTTGCAAATCTAAAATCTAGAACAATTGTGTGATTCTTAAGTGTTCAATACTTGATTATTTGGCTCATTTATTCACCTATGTTTGCACTATCTCATTTATTTCATTTAGCAGCATGTGTAATCTTTCCCTTGGTATGTTTCCCTCCCAAGTCCCATCATTTTGTATATTTTGATCGTTAAGGTTTTTTTTTCCTTTTTCCTCTTTTTGTTTTTTTCCCCATCTGTTCATTTTTTATCTGCATAGACAATTGATGATAGGTAAGGAGTGGCTATTTGGGTTTGTCTCACAGCAGAACATATGGTTAGGACAATCCCTCAATTTTCCTCCCAACCACATTATAGACTTTTGAAGAGATACAGCAATTAAATCCCATCATTTTCCTCTTGAAATGTATCTTCATAACCAAATTTTATTCGGAGGATTAGTTTTGTGTTTATGCTCAGAATATTTGAGTTATGCACCTTGAAGTTGCAAATATTTTTGGTTTGTATGTCCTTACTGTACTCTCCTTTTGTTTTTCTTGGTTTAACTGAACAGTGTGGGTCTTCAAGTCTGTAAATGGGTTTTCATTATCGTTTCCTCCTGAGAATTGCAGCCTTCCTTGTTTCACACAGTTGTATTATAATTCTTGCAAATGAATTGATGTTTCTGCTGGAACAGTGTTTCATTGATGTCAATAGATTGCTATGCATATCCAACTTTGATTTTCATTTCTGATCTATGTCTGCAGAAGGTATCACAGTTCATGAGTCGTGCTACACGTCTGAATGAAGCATTTTCTGTTGTGAGAAGGGTCCCCATTGTACGGCCCCTATTGCCAGCGGCTGGGGTGAATCCATGGCCTGTTATGAGTTTGAGATAGAATTGTTATTGTAAAGTAGGTGTAATGGGGAAGCATCATGCGAGCATGTTAATCGATGATTAAATGCCTGTCTTGCTTTGCTTTGTATGTAGCTGGAGTGCTGTGTTTCATATTTACTTTGTGTATGAACCTAATTAAATGTGTATAAACTCCAGACCGATTTCCTTCTGTGGTCCTGTATGATTGAGTTCATATAATATTGTCGACAATATACTTTAGACCTTTTGTGTGGTCAACCAATTCTGGACATGGCGGCAGCTTGGTTTCTGGCATCTAGAAACATTTTTTCAAGATTGCTGAGCTGAGAACTTCCATCAAGTGAGCAGCTTAAGCTGCAAAACAATTAAGGAACAATTTAGGATTCTTTTGATGATGGATGCATTGTAAATGCACATTCTGCATGTGGTTGTAGCTATATGCAGATGTATATCCTTGTTTCGAGCTACACCGTTTGGGAATCAAAGAATTAAATTTTTTTATTAATTTTTTTTTATATTTTAGATTTTTTTGATGTGATTTGATGTGTTGATTTTAAAATAATTTAAAAAAATAAAAAATATTATTTTAATATATTTCAATACAAAAAATATTTATTTTAATCACGTCTGTCTCCAGACAGGTAAAATTACTCTGCTCCCATCACAGCATGTGTTCATTTGGGACTCCTCGCACGGGTAATCATGTAGACATGTCACTTGGCAATTCGCCGAAACACATTCCCTCTTCTAAACCTTACAATCCTCCATTGCAAGCTTGTCTCATGACCAGATTTTAACCACGTAGTTGATCGCAACCTCCTTGATGATCTTTAAAGATTCTTCTATTTCAATGCACGGTTGGTGAGGATCAATAATTGATAGGGCAATCGCTATCTTGTTAATGCAGCTTTAGACATGAATCGTTTTTAAAATATTAAAGGAATAAAAAGTTCTAAGCCATTCAGTCTATTATTTCTGAAAGTTTGAACCACATACAAGACATTTGATATGGTAATACCACGCTTATAAAGCAAGGTGCCGAGTGTGAGGATGGCTTAAAAACCATGCTTATAATGGCTGGAGAATGACTTGAATACCACGCTTTGGACACACTGTGAGAAGATGAACTGGGTGATGGACATAAGTTGGCGAAAGAGTGAACCTGTAACTCTGCAGGATCATGGAGAGTGCAATCTTTCCTTCTATAATGGCATAGTTGAAGCCCAAACAAGTTCGAGGCCCCATCCCAAATGGCAAAAATGCAGCAATGCTCTTGTTTGTAGCTTTAGCCACTCCCTCTGCAAATCTTTCTGGTTTGAAAAGATGAACATCTTCTCCCCATATTTCAGGATTATAGTGATGGGCTAGAGTCGACATGTAGATTTCCATGTTAGCTGGTAGGATTAAGTTCCCCAGTCTAACTTCCTTGTCAACTTTCCTTGCCAAGTAATTAGAAGGAGCATATAGCCGTAGAGATTCATTGATAACCATGCTCATCTATGGAGGAAAAGGAGAAAGAATTTAGTTGTAGAAGTGGATTAGGTGGCAAAGCAGCACGACACTAACAAGCTAATTTGTTCAGAAATCAAGATTTTCTTACAATTTTCAATTTTGTCATGCTATCTGGACCTGGATTCTGTTGGCCAATTAGCTCAAGCACCTCCTTCCGTACCCTGTCCTGCCAATCTGGGTATATGGCTAGAAGAAGAACAGTCCAAGAGAGCAAGCTTGTTGTTGTTTCCTGTCCAGCAACATAAATGGTCTTGCACTCATCAATTAGGTCATCCACTGATATTTTCTTGCTATTGTCTAGATCATGATAGGCCTTTAAAAGCAGTCCAAAGAAATCATTCCCATAGCCATCCAGTTGTCCAGACGTTGCCTCTTCCTCTCTTTTCTTCATCATCTTTATGATGGACTCCCTTACTCTTTTCTCCAGATTCTCTGATTCAATATCATCGCTTGATTTGAAAATTTTTCTGTGACAACGGAAATTCCATGAGTTTGCCCAGAATCAGAACTATGCATGTGTAAAAATGTGGTAGCCTGAGAAATGATGGAATTTAGGTTGATTAATGAATGTCCTCTTCAGGAAAAACCCATGTAACTAATGTCTGATTATGCTTCAATGCATATGTGTGTACTGCTTTCTGCGCTGCTGAGGGCATAGGGCTGCTTAAAGATCAGTTCTCGGATGCAAAACTTGCTAACATGGTGAAGGAGGAAATGGCAGCTTACCCAATGAAAGGAATGCTGATTCTATAATTGTTTCTGTAAATAATGTCAATCATGTTCATTATCATATCAAATATATGCTGCCCTTCCAAGTAGCTGCTTCCAAAAGCTGTCCTGGATATTACTTCTGATGTCAAAACCTTGAATTCCTGGAACGCGTCAATCTCCTCGCCTTCATGGTTTCTCCATCTTTTCAGCATCACCTCAACACTAGCAATCATATCTGGAATCATCGCCTGCAAAAACAAAAAATGTTTGTGGAGTACTTGCTAATTGAGGTTCCCCAGAGATACCAGGTTTCATTACTTGTCCTGTTTATGTATCTTGAAAACATATCAGCCTCATGCACAATTAAACGTCAAAACAAGACTTTACTTTCAAGCTCTCTCCATGGAAAGCTTGGTTTCCCAGTTTCCTCATTTTAAACCACTTTTCGCCACTTGACGTTACAAGTCCATCACCTAGCAACCTCTTTACATGAGTTTCAACTGGGATTTTTTTGTAAGCTCCATCTTTATTGCTCAATATCTCTTTAACCATCTCAGGTTCAGTGACCATTAAGTGAGGTTGAGGACCATACCAGTAGAGGAAGTTCATCCCTACAGCAATTTGAATACATTTGCCAATATGATTAGGGCCAATCCAAATAAATTCTAAGCAAGAATATTGAGAAGATTGTTACCATAAACCTTGACCCAAGAATATGCATGAGGAAGAATTCTAGCGAATGTATTGTGTGACAGCTCCTGGGAACCGCCATCCATTGCATTGATGATGTTGAGAATCTCTGTGGTACTACCGTACAGGAATCTGTAAGGAGGACCTTCAATTCCTTGTGACTTCATGAAAGACTGAACTCGAGTTGGAGCCCACCATACTTTATTAAGAAACTTGAGGAGAATAACAAGAAGGAAGAAGCACAAACAACTGGAAAAGCACATCAACAGGGTTCCCATTTGCACTTCAAGGTCGATTATCCGATAACTGTAAATGAATTCAGTGGCTATGATCTATATAGGGTCTTTGGAATCCTCAGATCTTAGATACACACACGGAAAAACGTTCCATATCGCAGGATTTTAAGAGCCCTCCAACACGGGAAACAAGGTGTCAAAATTCTGTCAAATGCCCAGCAACAAAAACTAGAATCTGAGCATCGAACTGTGCGCTCAGACTTGTAATCTAGTGAAGTCAAATTAGTTATTAGAACCAAATGAGTACAAAATTTTTTTTGGCTTGCAAATGCTAAGATCCAACTGGCAATGCAAAACTTATCCACAGACAGTTTAATTATCAACATGTTGCTGCTTGAATCGCCATAGCCGTATATGCAATTATCCTTTTCAACGCAGGCACAATAGTACATGACAAAATAGTGAATATATTAGTGATACTGCTGGTGTGCTGTCGGGGTGAATTTTTTAAAATCTAATTTTTATTTAATTGTAGATGAAAGAAGTATATATATTTTTAGTAAAGACAACCAATTAAATTACAGAGAAAATTTTGTATTTTTTTATTAAAATTGTCTTTTTTAATCATTAATTTCTTTTTTTATTTTTTAATATAGTAGATGATGTATCATTTATATGGATAGATAACACATGATTTTTCAGGTCAATTTTCTAACCATTTTTAACGATAGAAAAGTCGGGTCTAAAGTTTAGAATATTCAAAACTTAATTTTTAATTTATTTTCATATAAAAATACATCAACAGCACTTAAGGATCTCAATAAATCCATTTCCAACTTTAAAATATTTATAATCACTCTAAAAAAAATCCAATAAAATAAAAAATTACTTCATAATTGCTAATTTATTTTTCATACTATATTTAAAGGGAATATCAATTTCATTAAACTTATTTAAAATTAAGAAATATCAATTTCATTAAACTTATTTAAAACTAACACATTAAAAATTAACTTTTTTTCAAAGTTTAGAAAGTGATTAATCATTTTTTTTTTCTTTTTTATTTTTTCAACAAATATTTCTTTTCTCTTTTGAAATTCAGGAAATGAAACATATAAAAATAAAATTTAGGATAAAATATAAAATCCAAAAAGGAACGAGACAAAACAAATGAAAACTTTAGGCATTATCCTCGATCATAGAAAGTAAAATAAAAAAGGCTGTGTTTTTTTTTTGTTTAATATTAAATTTTGTCTTTTTTGTCTCATTTTTTAATTATAAACTCAAAATTCTATTTTATGGCACCGAGCTTTCGTTTAATATCATGACAGTAAAATTAAAAAAAAAAAAAAAGTTTCATGATCACGACTATATATATATATATATATTCAAGAAAAACCATTTTATTATAATTCAAATTACAAATTAGTCTACTTTATTTATTAAATCAATATTTCTCTATAGACAAAGAGTCACTATTATTGTGATTATTGGCTTGTCCTATGATGCAAATTTCATTTTTTTAAGTTTATCTTTCAAACTCTATGTTTTACAATTATTTTTCTTTACAGCCTTAAACTTTATTTTTTTTTATTTATATTTTACTTTGACATAAAATTTCTATGAGTTTTTAGGCAGTAAAATTTGAAATCATTCAAAATTATTGACAGTAGATTGAAATATTATTAGCATATATGAAAAATTCCAATTAAAAATAAAAAAAAAAACTGATTTTTTTAAAGTTTTTTTTAACGATCAAAGTTCTTTACAACTAGTTCTATTTATTTTCTTTACATTTTTGTTTAATATTTTTTTTTTAGTGTTGTTTATCATATTTTTCTATCTAAAAAAATTAAATATTTCTTTTAATTTAAACCTTTTGTTTGCATGAATTTTCCTAGAACTTTAATATTTTATTCGATCTGTTATGATCCTATATATATATATATATCTTGCATCTGTTTATCTCATAACACTTCTCATTTCCTCGTAAATTATGGAGAAAGAAACTTTAACTCATAATACTTAGACATGTTCATGGGCTGGCCCATAATGGGTTTGGGCTTTCGGCCTATAAAGTTTTGTTCAGTCAGCACCAGTCCGGTTCCATTATTTGGGCTAATTATAAGCCCTATCAGGCTCATGATGGGCTTCACGTTTTCAGGTAAAGTAAGATGAACACAAAAAAAGAGAATGTTTTGTGGGGTGAATAGAGTAGATGATATTAATTTTTCAACAACAGCAGCAACACAGGTTGAAGAAGCAGAGGTCGAAGGGATGGTAAATAGTTTTTACCATAAATTAATTATATTTCATAAAAAAAGGTAGTTCACTCTCCCATCAAGAATACAAAAGACAGTTTGCAAGAAATGATTTCTGTGTATCATTTTAAAAATATAAGTCCTGCCTCTAAAAATTTCAGGTAAAATTCAGCAAAAATAGTCAATAATGACAAATTAAAACCCCTTTTTTCTCCGTTGAAAAACACTTTTGTGAAAATTTATTTATTTTTATATATTTTTAGATTATTTTGATATTTGATGTTTAATGCACCTAAAAATTTCAGATAAAATTCAACAAAAATAGTCAACAACAACAAATTAAAACCTTTTTTAAGTCGAAAAACACTTTTGTAAAAAAAAAAATTTCTTTAATTTTTTTATATTTTTATATCGTTTTAATGTCTAATATCAAAAATAATTTTTTTTAAAAAATATCATTTTGATGTGTTTTCAACTAAAATTGTTTTTTGAAAAATAACTGTTATCACAATAACAAATAGATCAACAATAAAGAATAACATTAAGAAAAGTATAAAACAACTACAAAACAACATTAAATATTAGTTGTAAGAGTTTGAGTGAGGCCAACTCATGTTGTTATTTCATGGATTGCAATAATTTGTAAGAAATTTTAGTTGAAAAAAACAAAAAAACAAAAATTATAGGATGAATAAAGAAAAAAAAAGTGATGAGAATGTGAATACGGCAAATGATTGTGAATTGAATCAATAGTGGTTTTGAGATTAAGATATGGACGTCATATAATTATATTGATATGTCAATAGTGATTGGAGTGGAGCATAATTTTCATCTGAAGTCAAGTTAGCAATTACAATAAGGATGCAATTACAATAAGGTTACAGGAAGGATAAAAAAAATGAAAGATAAATATTTTATCAAAGTTAAGAAATTTTTAATAAAGATAATATTCTATTTAGGGTTAGAATAGACTATAATAATTTTAACTAGAATAAGCTTGTCTTATTAATGACAATAAAGAATTTAAATACAAAAAAAATTTAACAATTATTTCTAATTCTTAGATCATGTCTCTATGAAATAGGACATTAACAACTAATGACAACTAGGCAAAAAAATATTTAAAATTAAATAATAATTACTTGACTTGTTCTTAATCAAGCAAGCTTGTGGACATAACAATAGATCCCAAAATCTTCATGTCATGGTTCAGGCAACATATCATTATTTATACGAAGTGCAAGTCCCATGCATGATAGCTCTTATCAAAATATTTTGGGTTCTTCATGGGCATTTTTTGGGATGTTTTTGACTTATCAATAACTTTGTTCGTAAGGTTCATATTTATGAACTTGTCTTTTATTTCTTGAGTGTTTCCTATGTAACATCAAGTTTTTTCCATTTAATCAAGCTTTCTTCAACAATTTTAAATCTTTTTTCTTAACCTAATGATTGTCTAATACTCCTTGCTCCATATTCAAATCACCATCTTCAACTAGTGGAGCTAACTTAGTATTTGTAGTAATTGTTTCACTCAATTTGTTCTTCAAAAGGGATACATGAAAGATTAGGTAAATGCAAAAACTTTATGGAAGCTTGAGCTTGTAACCCATTTTTCCAAGTTTTTCTTCAATCTAATATAGCCTATAAAACCTCCATTTAAGCTTTTAATATGTTTTTAAATATAGATTGTTGACAGTAAGGATCAAGTTTCAAAAACATATAATACCTCATTTGGTATTCAATGTCCTGACATTTGGAATCTGCATGTTGTTTCATTTGATTGCTCGCTACATGTAAATTTTCCTTAAATTATCATAGCAAGGCATATCAATAAGCTAAGTTTAGTCAACTTTATTTATTGGATAAGAATCTTCATGTTAATATGGGATTGTTAGTTATGACCTTTCATATAGAGCTTAGAAAAGAATCATTTTTGTAGATGTATGATAGTTCTCAATTAAAGTTATGAGATTTTTAATTAAATAATAACTATTTAACCTATTCTTAAGCAAGCTTGTAGACTTAAGCAACAGTAGATCCCAAAACCTTCTTTACATATCATGGTTTTTACAATATATCATGGTTCATGTCATTGCATACACGATGTCTAATGACATATATTCTTTATGGATCAAGGAGATTTAAGATGTGTTGGAAGTAATCATGAAATTATGATTGAAAGGGTTGAGAAGTTGCCACCTAATATAATGGTTATTAGAAAACCTGCTGATGTACAAGAGTCTAGGAATGAGGACTAGTTGTATATGAGGAAGCCACATCACCTTTAAAACACCTTATTTATAGTAAATAAAGAAAACTATAAAAAATTCCTTAAGACATGTTTACCAAACATGTCATAAGGATAAAAAAAAATGCATTTTTTTCCTTTGTAAGTAACGTACTCAACTAAAACACGTGGGCTGAGCTTTTCAGTCCAAAGCTTGAAAGTGCAAAAAAAAAACCCATACTCATAAATAAAAGAAGATTGAAGGAAATTTTCATTTATCATTATGCCAAGAACATGGTGAACAAGTGAAAGAACCTAGAAACTAAGTTAAAAATTTCAACGAAATCTTCTCAAATAAAATGCATAGTAACATTGAGTATGGAACAATGAAAAACAAATTAAGAATGACTTGAAATTGAACTTGACAATTATGAATGTAAATCAAGATATTCAATTTTAAAAAGGATCGATTACAAAAAATCAAGATTCTAATAGACACATTGATGGCAAAGAATAATCATACATAAATCTCAGTTCTAATCTAGATATATAAGGCAAGTCAAAACACTAATTTATAAGAAATCAAAATTGACAGCTTAAGAACATTCAAAGAAAGAAACCTAAAAATTCATAGAAATACCTAAACCTAAAAACAAGCATGAAACTAGAAAAGAAGACTTAAGTATTGTAACTATAACTTAGATATGCTAAATACAACTTGCTTGAAACATTAGAAATAACAAGAAACTTTAAAAACAAAAATCAAAACCTATTATGCATAACAAGTCATACAGGCATTCTTTTAAATATAAACAATATTCTATTGATCATTCCCTTTGTTTCTAAACTCAAATCTCATGCTTGCAACTTCAAACAAATTTAACAAGTTACTTAATACAACCTATCAACAACAACATCATACTCTAACATATTCATATCCACACCATTAATTAACTAAACATCAAAGCATGCAAAACAACCTTTTATACTAACATTTGTCTCTCCATTATCATCTCTTAAATATTAAACAAGACATCAAACAAACTAGAGCATATATAAGCTAATTTCTAAGATATAATTAAAATCCTTAAGACAAACATTCATGGTATTTAAACTAATAAATGACTATAATTGATGCATAATAAACATTTTAGATTAAAAGTTAAAAGATAAAATAGAGAGGAGTGGAGTTCTCGATTCTCTTTCTATTCTAAACTTTCTAAGTCAAAACAATCGTCACGCCATCCCCATGCAAAAGCACTACCTACTTGCTCTCATGTAGCGAAAAAATTTAACACTACCTTTATTATTTGTTTAAATGGAGGGGATATGCTCATTGAGTTGCATTCCTTCATCAAAGTTTAAAGTTATACATTGTATAAGGAATATTGATTCATTCTCTAGAATATTTGCTTCTTTCTTCTTTATTTTCAGCTTCTTTTTTATATGATGTTGACCTTGATTCTCTTCATTCCTTCTTTCTTAAGTTAGCACACAATTATTGTAGCTTCTCTCTAAATCAAATCCTCCGTGTTTTTTCTCTTTTCTCTTTCTGGTTTTCTTCTTAAAAATCCCCCATCCAACTTTAAAAGACACCTTTTTTTATATCCTAAAAAAGACAGATGATTATGAAATCATTTGTGGGTTTGATTGTGATTTTTCAAAACTAGATTATAGGAAATTCTATCTCATTTTTCCTCTGATATGTTAGGGAACCTTCTCCTATATTCCTTCTTCTGTTAGGGAACTTCTAGAAAAAGTTGGGACCAGAAAATTAGAGTTTATATTTATAAATACTAAAAACTAATTTTTATCTTATTTTTACTTGAAAACACTTCTAAAACACAATATAAACATCAAGTGGAACCCATTGGCATTAGGATTGACCTTTTAGTTGCTAAAATGTGATTAACTAATGAGTTTCTTTATTTTTTTATTATTTTCAGATAAGTTTTTCTCTCTTCTCTCAAACTCAACGACTGAAATGCTAATAAAATAAACTTTTAAAACAAAATTAAAATTAAAGAACCAAAAGGTCCATACAGGAAGAAGGTAGGTGGGCTAAACATATTTTTTTCACTTGAACTTAAGATTGGTCATGGGATTTCTGTTTGTTTTACTCTTCAGCTCTCTTTTGTTGAATGTTATCTTTTTTGAACAAATTCTAACAAATTGGTGGTCAGTAATTTATCTTTGTTTTATACTTTAGCTTCCTTTTGGATAGAAACTTGGAATCTTCTTTCTAGTGTGATAATAACGTTTGAAGATACTTCTAGTACTGGACTTGTCTTTATGACCCAGTTGAAGCTTCCTTCTTCGGCCCCCTTTTTCTTTAAAAGCCACCCCCTCTCTCGCCTGTTCCATTCTAAGAAAAAACAAACGAACAGATTTGCCATCTTCTTCTTGGCATGGATGGCTGTTTGAGGCCAAGTAGCAGGCCTCGCCTTTCTAAAGAAGTTCAGCTCAAACCCCAGTTTTGTTGGGGCATCTCATTTCGAGCATCTGACCATGAAATTGTTGGTAAATTTGCTTTCTTTTTTTATAATTTGATAGGGCTGAATAAGGCCATTATCGCATATATTTAGGCACTGAAAATTCAAGGTTGGGGATTCGAGTTTGATTAAGCTAAATGAAATACTTGTAATTCTAAGTCTATGTCTCTAGAGATTGGATATAAATTGTCATTTATACACAGCAAATTTACAGAATCTTGAAATAATCAAGCTCTTATTTGTAATAACATAAGTAATTAACTAAATAATCAAGTGTTGAGATTTCATTTAGCTCTCGAAAGCATCACTAGTATATATATTGTTCGATCTCAATCATTAATCTGACTCCATTTTGAGATTGAACTCATGTTTGAGCTTAGATTTTTTGGTCTATGGAGCAAAATAGAGAATATTTATCTGCATTTCAGCTTACTCGTGTCGTGGCAGGACTTAAAAATTAATGTTGTGATGGATTATTTTGAATTCAACTTGTAAAGGGAAACATGAGATATATGGCAGCAAGGAATGTTCTAGGATGATTTTTAAAACCTATTTTTATTTATTTTTTTAATAATTAAAATAGATATTTGTACAAAAAGATCACTATAATTTATTTTTTAAAAAAAATATAACTTTATTCATGCATTTTTTATCAAAGTATTTTTATTAATAGCATTATTTTTTAATTAAAAGTAAAGGAAATCAAAATAATTTTCTTACAAAAAATTAAAATAAGAATAAAAAAATATATCCCTTAAATCTAATCAACATTTCCTTATTAATGCATTTATTTTTTAAGGAAAAAAAACATATTTTTTTTTATCATAAAGGTAGTGTTTTAAATTGAAAAATTATCATTTAAAAAGTAAGTTTTAACAAAAATAAAAAAATAAAATATCATGTCTCGATATTTTATATAAAATTGAAGGGAAAACATATTTAGTATGAGAAAATCATGTAAAGAAAATTATATTAAAAAAATATAAGCTTTATTTTAATTGAATATTCATGATTATAATTAAAAAAAATAATATTATGTTTATATATAATAAGTAATGAAACAATTGTTAATATTATAAAAACAAAATATTATAATCTTATTAGAAAACAAAGATAAAATTGAATGGAATTGAATAGAATAATATTTTAAATATAATTTGAAATGTTTTATTTATAATGAATTTTACTTATTATTTAATAAAAAAAACTAAAAAAATATATAAAAAAAGAGCGCTAGAAACCTAGATAAACTCATTTTGACATCAAAATATTCTTATATCTATTAAAAAATAAAAAATTAAACCGAATCTAAAACTCTTCTAATCTCAATTTATTTTTTTCTTGTAAAAAACAATCCAATGAAATTAAGATTGACATTTTTTTCTTTCCGCTTGACATTTTTTTCTCTTCCCCTTTCTTAAAACTCATGGTCTAAAATATAAAAAAAAATAAAGTTTAAGATATCAATGTAAAACCTTAAATTTAAAAGGATAAAAATTGGAAAATCTTTGGACATAAGAATCTTTTGTGAAATTTTGAAAAAAGCCTCAGTTATTTGTTTGATTTCGTATTTTTATAAATTTTAATCTTATTTCATGAAATTAGCCTCTAATTCAACTTTGAAATTTTATCATACACAATGAATTCTCAACAAAATACAAGAAAAGAACATTAACAAGTATAATATCACCAAACACCAAAATGTATAAAACTGAAAAAAAAAGCTTAGTGACACTAATGAAAAATAAAAAACACTATTCAGAGTTCATTTAGAGAGGGAGCACAATAATGTACAGTAAAAATGGTTCTTTCAGTGTTATTGTATAATGCATAATATTCTTTTATCAGCCGAACATTCCTAGTCTAATTTACCCCCATTAAAAAAAACAAAGTATAACAAATTTAGGGCATCTTGAGTGCTAGTCATTACCCTCAAACGCACTAACGGAGAATTTTGTTGATGGAAGCTGTCCTCGAAGATGATTGTAACTCAAATTCAAACTTTCCAGCCCAGAAACTGATCTGGAGACCTTACCATAAACCAATTTCCTTGCCAAATCCAACTTCTTCAATGTCCCATCAATCTTTAAACTCCCCAAAAGGAACTTTAATTTATTCCTTGAAGCCCCAGAAGCAACCAAATAATCTGTCTTATTCACCAACCAAACTGGACCGGCTGATGTTGGGATCTGTGGTGCGATCTCTTTGCCCATTGGAGGTGGATCACAACAATTTAATATGGCTCGACAACAACTTGCCTATGTACACGTAGCAACCATGAGGAGAAAACAACATTTTGCATCAATAGAGATGGAGGAGGTGGGACAACTCATCTCTACTAAATCCCATCTCTCCTCAGTGCAGTGCTGCTGCGGCCCACGAGGGCGGCTCTCCTTCTACCCTGCTTCTTCTGGTGCTGCTTGTTTTCCTGGGCTCTCTATTTATAGGCTCAGGATGGCCAAAAACTCAGCTCACCTCCATTTATGACTTTCCAGCAGGCAACGACCAACTAACATTAATGCTGCTAACAACCAACCATTAATGGTGGTAGCTGCTAACTCTGACAACGCATGCACCCATTATAATGTACTTTGCCATTTATATCCATACATAACAGAAGATCATTGTAGTCATAGAAATGTCTCCTTTGGCTTCCAATCATCCAAGTTCATCTGTATCCCACATTTTAAACATAGGAGATAAAGTTAGGGGTCACAATTTCAACCGAACTTGATTAATATTGACGCGACCAGATACAATAGATGGCTTTATATATATATATATAGTTGCCGTACTTACGGATAGTTTAAAACTGAATCTATCCGGAAATATATTTATAGAATGTTTTTTAATATAATATAATATATACATGTTTCCATATCTAACTCCAAATACATATTTATATTATATAAATATATTTATAAAATATTTTTTATCGAAAGATAAATAATAATTGGATAAATAATACTCATATAATATCGGAAACTCAATATATAATTTATAAATATTTAAATCTCAGATATAAAAAAGAATATCCAGTTACTCAGACAAACCGAGTACCTCAATACTTTTAACATTCAAGGCAGCTGATGCGCGTTTTAACGAGTGGAAGTTGGCCAATGAAACGAGGAGAATAGACAAGTGCTTCATGTTTTTTTTTTTTTTAAAATAAAAATAATAAATAAAATCCAACCAAAATATTTGCAAGATCAAAAAAAGAATTTGACGAAGTTGTAGGGATAGACACTTAAGACATATCATGACCCGAGTTTTTGTTTTAAAGAGATAAAAGAGATCAAGTTTCATTTGAGGTATAAGTAAAACTTATAAGAAGAATATAGTAGTAATACGTCCAGTATATTTTTTAGAAAAGAAAAAAAATTCCTTTGTTAAGGTTAAATAGGTTGAGAAAATAATGTTTTATTATTGAGTGAAAAAGACAATGCCGTTTAGATATCAAATTAGATTATTGTTTGAATTATTATTTTTTAATATAAAAATAATATTGAGATGTTGTTAATTTGTTTTATAACAAAAACAAATATAAAAATTAATCTTATATGACCTGATCTGCTTGAAAATTAACAAATAATCTGAATAATCAATAAAATACAATTTGATTTTTTTTAAAAAATCAAAAAATATTTTTTAAAAAATATATAAACAACAACATATTAGATTGACTTGGATTAATTTGGGTTAACTTGTTAAATCCACCACCTAGATCATGAGACAATAATAATCCTATAAAAATAAATAAAAAAAGTTATTAAACCTAATTTTTAATTAACTTAATATTAAAAAATAAAATTAAAAATAAAATTCAACTAAAAAAATGGTTGAGTCAAGTAGAGTTAACCTGCTAAGCATTAGTTATAAGACAGAGATAACCTCATAGTAAAGAAATTAAAATAAATTATAAAACTTAATTTTTAATTAATCCAATATTGAAGGGTGAGATTAAAAAAAAATCAATTGTAAAAGGACATAAAAAATCACTTGAATCAATGGACTAAACCCATAACTCGAGTCAAAAGACTAAGATAAATTCATAAAATACAAACCAACACAAATTATGAAACTTAATACTTAATCAACCCAATATCGAAGGATGAAATATATATATATATATATATATATATATAAAGAACAAGAAAAATCCAAATCAACCAGCTTTACTTTTGATCTAGGTCATAAGAGATAATCGTATAGAAAGCAAATTAAATTTTTTTTTATAAATTTCAATTTCCAGTCAACCCAATTTTGAAAGATTAAATAAAAAAATAACTCGAATCAACTCGAGTTAACCTATCAAACCTGAGTCAAAGACTAAGATAATTCCATAAAAAGCAATTAAAAAAAATATAAAATCTAATTTTCAATCAACCTAATATTAAATTATGAAATTAAAAAATAAAAAAAATCTAAGTCAACACTGCTAACTCACAAGAGTCATGATTTTGGTTATGAAACAATGATAACTTCATAAAAAGAAAATCAAAACAAATTATAAAGCTCTCTACCTAGTAAACCCAATATTTAAGAATGAAACTGAAAAACAAATTAAAAAAAAACCTAAAAATTTTAAAGATCAAAGTGAAAAATGGAGCTTTAGAATCCTTCTTAGAAAGAAAATATTTTAATGGTGCATAATCATTAAAAACAACAATAGATGAGCCAACAAAATAAGATCTAAAATTTTTATATGAAAATACAATTGCAAGTAATTTCTTTTTAGAAGTGGAATTATTCATTTGAAAACTATTTAAATTTTTAGTTATATAGTAAATAACATTAGGTTTCTTATCTTTTTCTTGTCCTAAAATAACACTTATGATATAATCACTAATATCACATATTATTTCAAAATGTAATGATTAATTAGGAGGCTAAATGACAAAAGCAGAAGTAAGTAAGATTTTAGTTTATAAACTCACTTATCTCTTCGGAAATGACACCAAAAACTTGACATGATTAAATAATTGATGTCTTCTTTCAAGTATATGAATGTCTAAGTGATAAATAATCAAACAAGGCTAGGGTCAATCCATATGGAGGATGATAATGAAATACTATAAATAATAAAATAAGAGTTAAAGAGATCTTTAAGATATGATATTAATGTAAAGACTTAATAAAGATAAAACAACTTATAAGGTTAGAGGATTCACTAATGGTATCTTAAATAAGTATAGTTTAAACTCTTTTTATTACTCAACCAGAAACTACACACAAAGAAGATTTCAATCACATGATTTATCATTAATAGCTCATTTTAAGTTATTAATTATCTTTAATTACCTTATTTGAATAACGTCAACACTTGTAAATAATGTCATGTACTCATGGTGCTAATATATATCAACAACAAATTAAGATATTTTATAGCATAGGTGTCTGTTCTACATGCAATAAGCTATAAAATAATCAAGTATTTGTTCTGTCAAAGATTGTACACCATGAATAAAGACTCACAACTTAACATTGAAGGTATTAAGATTGATTACGATAATAATTACAACATATGTTAATAGCAATTGTTTTTTTAATTTAAATATTAAAGTCTATTTTGAGTTATTATTATATTTATTCTTATACCATTAGTCTAACAATTTAACTAAACATAATTAAGAAGAAAAATATAAATAAATAAGATGAGAGCATATACATGATATAAATTAACTAAGAAAAATAAGAAAAATAATAAGCATAAATAAGAGATTAATGAGAATATAACATGAAATAAAATTTGAATATTAAAAATACAAATAAAAAAAGCAAGAGAATATGTCTTGATCTCAAAACCAATATATCTTAAATGGATGGTAACTATTTTTTTTTTATATATGCTAAAATCTAGAACTATTGATATCGAGGCTAGCTATTTATCTCAACTTTTCGTCCTAAAAATATAGGCTTATTTGGGCTTTTATAGCTGTATATATTGGCTAAATATCAAATAATGTCTAGGCTAGAAGACTAATTCATACTTCTTTTTTCTTGCTAAGATTTGAACATAAAAATTACAGTATTAAATCTTGAGCTCTTTATGAATGTTTTAGGCCTACATCTTAGCTTTGCATAACCCAAACCACATCTAAATACAAGGTCGATAACTCTATTTTTAACCTAAATATTGAATGGTGTTCTAGTTTGACTAAAACCAACCTAATTTAGATTCTTATCTAAGCCTAACCCTCCTTTTATCGCTTCATGTAAACCTAAATTTTAATAATCAAACACATTAATCAATCCTTTAAATTGTGAGATTTGCTTATTTTATGAACCTGCATTTAAAACTGAGAATTTATCATAAATTAAAGATATCTTATATTATTAGACTTTGTATTATAAAATGTGTTAAAGTTAGGGAATTTAATGATACTTTATATGCAGTATGATGATATAAAATCTTAATAAAATAAATATTTAAGTACCTATCATAAAATATTATGTATAGAGACATTGCATAGTGACATGGAGACTTCATTTGAAGACATAGAGACTTTCCCTTGAGACATAAAGATTCTCATTGGAGATATTAAGAACTTATTATAGACATGAAAATTCTCACTAGAGAATTTGTTTGAGACATGGAGAAACACTGTACTTTTATTAAAAAAGTTTAAAAGATTTTTTTATAAGGCATGACATTCCTCGATATTAATTATCGTACTCTTCTCGTAAGAGTGCAACATTTTAGTGACCCTTTCCTGGTGAGTTCTTGAAGGTTTTTAGTTGTATAGCAAGTCATCATCTAGTATTATAGATATTAGAAAATGTAACTAGTCTTTTAGAGATTCCAAGTAAGGGATTAATGCCGCAAAGAGAAGGTATTAACATCTAGTACGCCTTACCTGATGTAAACTCCATTGTTTTTCTTTATTTGCTATGATGTAATGGTATTTCTATTTCTATTAGCCTATTATAACGGGTTTACTATGATAAACAAACCCTGGTTTCCTAAGTTAAAAGCTTGATCTGAAATATAAAAATATCTTTAATTATCATTGATGCTTATTTCGAGGTAAACTTAAAATTTTAGCAACTATATCATTTCAAATAATATTTTAGATAAAATTCCTCAAAGTTTTTATCCTTATATAAAGAGTGAACGAGTTTTATTACTTCCAATAATATTTCAGATATTGACCTTATACAAGTTTTTCATTCTTATATTAAAAGTGAGTAATAAAAGAATTATTATCTTTAATAATATTTTGAATATTAACCTATTTAATATTTTTATCCTCATATTAAAAAGTAAATAATATATTTCTTGTCAAATATAAATTTTTGATATTTTTGAGATGTTGGCCAAAATCTTTAGGCAATTTTACAAACTTGTTGTAAAATTCATGAGATATTTTGTTTTTCTTAAACATGCCAAAATATTTTTTGATTTTTGAAAAAAAATGTTGAAAATAATTTTTAGGGTTTTTGGGCATATGCAAAAAAGAATAAATTATATATTTTTATTTTATTTTATTTTTTAAGGCCTTGTTTGGCAAACATCCATTTTCCTTTAAAATAAAACTATCATAACAATGTTAAGAGCACATTTGTCAAACACATATTTAAGCTAAAATTCTTTTTTTTTTTAAATAGTTGAAAACAAAATAGAGTCTTATTTATCTAACCAAACTTTGACTTGAACAAGTTGACCTAAAACCTTTGATTTGATCATAAACCAATCTAAACACCACTGGTTGGACCTGAACAAAAAAAAAAATCTAATCGAGGACATAAAACGAATCATTCTTGGAAAAAACACAACATAATTGTTTTTCATCTAAACAGTTCAAAACTCAGAAAAACAACGAATACTAATAAACATTCAAACTAGTTCAGCATGAACTCAAATACATACCATATTTCATGAAATAAAAGGCACATAAATGTTGTAAATCATGTAATGATAAAAAATTAAGCAACCAAACTCTATAATTATCAATCAATAGTACTAATTTGGCCTTTAAAAAAAAATCCTAAGATTAAAACTTATAAAAAATATTATTGATGTAAAATAGCTTTTTATTATTAACTAATAAAGTCTTCTGAAATTTTTAGTGTAAAGAGACGAACCAAAACTGGTTTAAATCATGGAGTCAAGACAATATTATTGGAAAGTACATGAAGAACACAAACCTAACAAACC